CAGGATTAAGTGCCCGTGTTACTGGAAGATACACTGGAGAATACAGGGGGGAGGTGTCAGGATGACACCAACTTACTCTCAAAGGGTAAAAATTGACGTGGCTGTTTTTAGAGAGTAGACAAAGCAAAGGTGACTAAATGAACAGTTGGGGAATCGGTGCGGGATACGTGGGCATGTGACAGGGAGGCTACCAGATGTCCCCGTGACCCCTAGCTCTCGTGACTTTACACTGCTACACCTGATAATTTGTTATGCGGTAGTAGATGACTGATGCTCATTGCAGGATGGTTACAAATTCTCTTTCAAAGTTGCAGGAAGAATCACGTGGCTAGTGCACAGTTGCCGCTGTGACAAAACCCACGCCGAGGCCTTGCTGCCTGGTCATGGCCAGCCCTGCCCCCGGGCCCTGCCCCCACTCCAGACCTTGACCTGGTGGGTCCAGGTTCGGGACATCCCAGCAGTTCCCACACAGGCTGTTCCATTTGCCTGGTGTGCTGGTCCCGTCTTCTCATCCTCCATGGCATCAGGGCCTCCCACTGCCCACTCCAGTACCATCAAACCCCAGCCACCCCTGCGTTCTCCCACCTCAGCCCTCCTCCAGCCCCTCCCTCGCCCTCCTTCTCCCTGGCCCCCTCCTTTCCCCTCCCCCCACTTCTTCCTCCTCTGCCCCCTCCCTCTTGTCCCTTCCCCCTTCTCTTTCCTCTCTCCTCTCTCCTTCTTCCCTCTCCCCTTGCTTTTCCCCTCCTTTGCTCTCCTTTCACTTTTCTCTCCCCCTCTCCCTTTTCCTTTCTCCCCTCCCCTCCTCTCCCTGCTCTAGGAGGTGGGCCTCTGGCTGCCCAGCTAATAACCACAGCAGGAGCCTCCCGGCTCTGCTCCCCAGCTCCAGCCGTTTCCATGGACGAGGGCCCACACAAACACAGGATGCTGCAGCTCCCCCTGCCAGCCCAGGACCCCCCACAGCACCGGGCTGGTGGCAGATGAGGTCATTGCCACAGGGGCCCCACAGGCCTGTTGCGGGGGACTGTTTGTTTGGCCTTGTTTCTGTGGCAACCTGCTAGACCCCTCCTTCACTCCATCCAAGGGGGCGTTGGCTGGTGCAGGGGACGAAGCTGCCCCTGAGCCCCCAGCTCCACCTCCAAGGTATACAGAGGGAAACTGAGGCCCAGGAGCCAGGCAGAGGCAAGATCATGCAGGAGCAGGACACTTGTCCCCAGACTGGGGGCTCCCTCTGCCAGGTGGCCCCACGCACGCACTCCATCGCCTGGGGTCCTGGCTGTGCCCAGCATCTGTCCTGCCTAGGGGTCAGGTCCCTGACTTACATTCTGGACAGTGAGCTGAGAGGGCCCTGTTCCAAGAGAGGAGCCCAAGACAGGGCAGTGAGCTGGGAGGGGACCACGGGCAGCCCGGGCGGGGAGGCACGGTCAGTCACAGGTTGAGGTGGTGCTGTAGAGAGGGGGGTGGGGACAGGAAGCTTGAGGGGGAGCTGAGAAGCAGCAGGTTGGCTCAAGGCAAGGCTGTATGTCCAGAGCACACAAGCCTAGCACACACTGTCACCACTGTCCCGTCTGTCCAGTGGCCTTTGCAGCAGCCAAGAGCCCCCTTGGATGGGGTGGGGTCGGCTCAGGCCAAGGGCATCAAAACCCCCAGAGCAGAGCCAGGAATGGGGGCTGCGTGCCCCCCATCGTGGGGCCCAGGGGGCCCTGACCCACCTACATCCTCCTGGTTTTTTAGCACCTCGGTGCTCTGGGCCTTCAGCCTTCCTGGGCAGCCTCTTCCTCAGGGGCCGCTCGCTGAGCACCTGCCGGGTGTGGCTCAGCCAGGCCCTGATGGGGCAGTGAGTAGCACTTCCTGCGGCCCCTGTGGTCCCAGGGCCCCCAGGGTCTCACAGCAAGGTGAAACAGGGCCCCACTGTCACTTGTCCAGGCTATCCAGCCATGGGGAGTTGGCCTCACTTTTTCCATCTCCCTCCCCCTCATCTTCCTCTCCATCCTCCCCCTCATCTTCCTTTGACTCCTCCCCCTTCTCCTCCTTCTCCCTTCCTCCCTTCTTCCTCCTAACCTCCTCCCCCTCTCTGTCCTCTCCCTCCTCCCCCTCTGCCCCTCCTCCCCTTCCCCCTTTTCCCTCTTCTGCCCCCCTCCCCCTCCTCCTTCATCTGCCTCTCCACCTCACCCTGTCTCTGAAGTCATCCTGGAAGGCAGGTGGGATCCAGCTGAATACCTTCCCAAATGTGCGGGCCCGTCTGAGACGTTACCTAACCGCACCTTCTTACCTAATCCCCCAGCCATCTCCTGCCTCCGGTGCCTGCCCCCGCCCTGGCAGGGCTGGGCTGGGCTCCAGCCCAGACTTGCCTCTGGCCATCTGTGGTCCTGGGCTGCCTCCCCAGGATGTGGTCGGACAGGGAAAGCCTTCTCCTGCCTCAGGTTCTGGGCCGGGCCAGCAGGAGCTTGCCAGCTGGAGGAGGCCACAGACAGGGACAGGAGAGACCGCAGTCACTGGGCAAAGCGGGTGGCCAGAAAGGAGTAGAGTGACAGCCCAGCACTTTGTCCTCAGTGTGCACACACGTGCATACACGTGCACACATACAGACACATGAATGCACGTGCATGTACACAGATACACCTGCGTGTGTGCAGACACAGAGGACACAGGCACACATGAACACACACATGCACAGACACATGGACCCAGTCCCCCATGTGCTTGCACACAGGCACACTCAGACACAGACGCATGTAAGATTAGCCGGGAGCACAAAGCAGATCCGCCACACATGGAACCCAGGACCGAGGGGAGACCTGGGTGCCCAGATAGGGACCCTGGGCAGGGGACTGCCTACTCCAGTGAGAGGAGGTCAGCCCTGGCAGGAGGCTCTACACAGTCCTGACCAGTTGTCCCTCCTGGCCAGCCCCTTCTTTCCCTCTGCAGCCCCCACAGCCTACACCTGGATGGCTTTCAACTGCAATTTCAGCCACTGTCGCCCAGGAAGAATGGCACCATTCAGGCTGCCTGCTCCCTAGCCCAGGGCACAGACACCCGGCCCCTGCCTGGCCCTCAGTAGCAGGGCCCAGGGAGAAGCAGGCCTTGCTTCTCACAACGTGCAGTGAGGAGGAGCTGCCCCCATGGGCCCCCCAGGCGGCAGATGCCCCTGAGCTGCCCTCATCTGTGGATCCCAGTGCCTGGCTGAGGGACCTCTCGGAGCTTCCAGGTCAGCTTCAGCCTGGCAAGGGTCTGATGTCAGGAGATACTCTTCTGTCTCTAGAGGGAGTGTCCATGAGACCAGAAAGGGGCATGGTGGCTTTTCTGCCTGAGCCTGGTGATTAGGCAGATAATGCCACATTCCTCAGGTGTCAGCCCCTCTCCTGGGCATCCAGGGGGGCTTGGGCAAGACCCTAGGTGGCAGGGAGGCGACCTCCCAGGAGAAGGGCCACCAGGGGTCCAGCAGGGCACATCACAGCTATGGAAGGACGGGACATAGGAGATGGACTCAAGGGAAGACAGAGGCCAGCAGGGAGGGCAGAGGGGCTGGGGACTGGGGACAAACTCAGTGGAGTTGGGGGGGATGTCGTGGCCAGAGAACTCTAGGCTCAGAGAAGGTGGACAGGCCATTGGGGACCAGCACCAGGATGAAGCACAAGGAACATGCTTCTGGAAGAGGCTGCAGGCTCAGAGTGAGGGAGAGGAAGCTGGGGGTGTAGCAGGCATCCTGAGAGGGGACAGAGGGTGTACCCCACCTAGCCAAGGGCCCCCCACACCCTGGGGTCACCTGCCTGCCTGGGCCAGGGAGAAGGTGACCACGGCAGGTGCCTAACACCCACACTGCGAGATGGGCTGCACCTCTGGTAGCCCAGAGGCCTCTCCCCACTGCCCTACAAAGGACATGGGCCTTCCTTGAGGTGATGAGGGAAGAATTGCTCAAGAGACAGTTTTCATTCCTAATTGGTCAAGAAAAGGAGGCGTGCTCTGTCCTGCCCACCACAGGCCCTGGATCCACCCCTACTCCATTCCAACCCAGACCACACTCCTTTCCCCACCTGGGCCCACCCCTTGCCCTAGGTCCTTCCACCCCTCGCCCTAGGTCCTCCCTCCCCTCGCCCTAGGTCCTCTGGACCTCAGTGGGTGGAGCTCCATCCCTCAAAGTTCACACCTACCTGAACTGCAGGTTAGGACTACATTTGGGAAAGGGTCTTTGCAGAAATATTTAGTCAGTTGAGTCAATGATCTCCAGATCAGAGCATCCTGTACTGTCTAGGTGGGCCCTATGTTCCACAACAGGTGTCCTCATAAGGGACAGCAGGGGAGAAGATCGAGAAGACATGGAGATGGCCACACGAAGATGGAGGCAGAGACAGGAGTGATGTGGCCACAAGCCCGGGCATGCCTCGGGCACCAGCAGCTGGAAGAGGCAGAGAGGACCGTGCTGTCGAGCTTCCTGAAGGGCTGCGGCCTGCCCACACCTTGATCTCAGACTTCTGGCCTCCAAAGCTGGGAGAGGACAAGTTTCCGTTGCTGTTTAAGCTGCCACCCTGACCCTGTTTGTGGTCGATTGTTGTGGCTGCCCCTCGACTCATCCAGGGCAGAAAGCCTCGCAGCTGTCTTCACGTTCCTGCTCCAGAGGGGAGTGGCACAGGGCCTCGACAGGCACTCTGGGAGAGACGAGGGTCCGGGGGCTCGCACAGACCTCCCTCGTAGCATCGTTTGGGGGTGTGCTAGATGGAGCCGGGCACGTGGGCCTCCAGTGCCAGCCTCGTGAGGGGATCCATGGGGCTGCTCAGTGCCTGGGGACCTTGGATGTGGCCTCTGCATGTGACAGCTGCTGCCTCTTGATGTGTTTACACGGAGTACCGCCCACTCCCACCTCTGGGGAGGGCTGGGCTGGACTTGGTCTGAGAGACCACTCTGCTCTGTGAAACCCTCTAATGTCCCTCGGCCCGCCTCCCTTCAGGCCTCCTCCTCCCCAGGGCCACCAGAACCCCTCTGAAGGCAGCCAGCTGAGATGGGGCTATAATTTAAAAATACATTTATTTAGTGTTTCCATTTGTTTCTGTTCTGTTACACAAGGCCGTTAAATAAATACATTCTCCAAGTCACTCGAGTACACATCTACTCGCTATACAGATGAGGTAGAGAAATTTATAGGCTCACATGAGGCTCTGAACGTTAAGTCCAGAGTCCCCGTGTGTGAATGCCCCTCTCCTCCCGCCCGCCGGGACCTGGCCCACCAAGCTCCGAGTCACGTCTGTGCACGCTGGGCAGAGAGCAGGTGGCCGGGACCGGCCTGGCCCTCAGCGTGGCTCTGCCCTGCGGCCCCCGCGCTGGGGTTGCGGGGGGTCTGAACCCCACCACAGAACGTGTGTTCTCTTAGACATCCTCTGCTGAACAGAAGAGAAGCATGTTAAAAAGAGGCTCCAACAGCGGGAGTTGCTTCTTCGCTTAGCAAGACATTCTGATATATATTTACGTATAAACAAATCAGCCAGCAGACGTTTTCAATCTGCCTTGTTAAAAAAAAATACTTTTCTTAATATTTATGTCATAGAGTTAAATGTGGTATTTGAATTTAAAAAAAAAAAAAGAACCCTTCCTTTGACTTGCCGCCTTTCCAGACCCAGTAGTGACCGAGCTGCAGTCTTGTCATGGAAGCATGGCCAGCTCCGCGTGCTCCGGGGCCCCAGCGAGTGGGGGTGCTTGGAACAACTGAGATGCACCCTAGCCTGTCGCCACCCTCCCCAGCCAAGCGTGAAGGGAGCGCGCCCTGGCTACCTCCCAAGGGACATGCCTCGGCTGCACAGCTCTGGCAGCATGCAGGCGCTCAGGGGCTGTTCTCTGAACCACAGGAGAATAAACTTTACTATTTACACTATAAAACAGGGACAAAGAGACCCACATCCACATAAATAGGTTTTCTTTGCAAAACAGTCCCTAAGGTCCCCAAGGCCTCCCTGGACTCTGAGGAACCCCCTCACTCAGTAGTTCCCTCCTCCACGCTGCCACCCAGCTCTGGGCTTTCCCAGACCCCGGTCCACACCCGCTCAGACAAAGCCATGGAGCTGAGCAGGATGGGCCTAGGGCTGAGAACCCTACCAACAGGGGGAGAAGAGCCCCACGCCTAGGAAGGGCACAGGGCAGGAGCCACACCCCAGCCAACCACTGACCACGCCAACATGGTACGCATAAGCCCCCACATCGCACACGTGCACACATGTGCTCACGAACATGCATGCATGCACACACATCACAGATGCTCACACATGCACACAGACACTGCACACACGAACGTGGTTGCACACATGCGTGCATCGACGCATGTGCACGCACACCCACGTGCAGCTATGCTCACGCATTCTCATGCATGAATACACACCACGTGCTCATACACAAGCATGCATACACACCCATGCACACACACACATCACACACTCACCCACGTGCACTCATGCATGCACGCTTATGCATTCACACAAACATGCTCATGCACATACATGCCACATACTCATGCATGCAGTCACGCACACGTGTGTGCACACACACTCAAACCAAATCAGGTCAGTGCTGGCCATCCTTTTCCCTCCCCTGCAACAAAAACCCAGCATGGCCAAGGAGAACAGCCTTCCATCTGCCAAATCATATTCCCCAGACTCTCTTGGCTCATGTCTGTCCCCATCCCAGCTCCCTCACAGTGACAGAGAGCAAGCTGTGCATTCTTCATGACATGAACCCTCCAAGGGGCTGGCCCTGCCCCTTCTGCCTCTGCTCACTCCTGTGGGAGAACAGGTCACCTTCTGCCATCCCCAGGATCTGCGCTGAGGAGTCTGAAGTGCGGCGCCATGTGCCCACAGGGTGCGGAGCAAGGCCCGCCCACTTCCCAGGCCAGCCTCACTGCGGGTAGCTGACACGAACCATGGGACCTGGATTCCAGAAACCCTAAAGGTGGTGGCCAGACACAGCTTGCTTCACTTCTTTATAAACAACAACGACCATGTCTCTCTTGATTTAGTGGTTTCAAACGACAAAGCAGATCAGGCAAACAGGTTCGGAGGGGGCGCGGAGGGGAGGGAGAAAGGGGTCCCCCAAGACGAGGCTCTGCCGAGAGGAGCAGGAGCCACGGCCTGAGAGACTGCAGGGACGGAGAAAATAATAATTATATATTAGTTAAATAAAAATAACTTAAAAGTCACTGATATCACTCCAAAGAGAAGTACTCGGTGTCAGAGGGGGCCAGCAGTATACCTCCCGCACCCGGGCGGCTGGGCACCTGCTTTCTCTCCTAGTGGTTTGCTCTCTAAGCCAGTGCTGGTGCGGGACAGCCCTCAGGCAGCCCACGCAGAGGCCACGTGGTCACAAAGGCGTGCCCGCTGCTCCTCAGAGGGCACCCAGGACGGGAGGGGTACCGCACTGCGGGAACTGGTGACTTAGGGGGACACAGCTTGGAAAGCATCTGTGCAAAGCTCTCAGGTCACAGGGAGGGACAAGCAGAAAGGATGCGAAGGTCAGACTGGGCCTTTGGGATGAGGAGACAGAGGGTCAGAGATGGCCAACCCAGCCAGCCCCTAGGCCTCTGCCCCGCCTTAAACCCAGATGTGCTGGGGGCATCCAGGCCAGGGGCTCAACCCCTGTAGGTGGACGCCCCTCACACTGCACACACACTGCTGCACCCTAACAACAGCCTGGCCAGGCCCGGGGGCTCAGCCCCTGCGGGTGGACGCCCCTCACATTGCACACACTGCCTGCACCCCTGCGACAGCCTGGCCAGGCCCGGGGGCTCAGCCCCTGCAGGTGTAGACCTCCTCGCGCTGGGTGCACTGCCTGCACCCCTGCCGCAGCCTGGCCAGGCCCCGGGGCTCAGCCCTTGCAGGTGTAGACCTCCTCGCGCTGGGTGCACTGCCTGCACCCCTGCCGCAGCCTGGCCAGGCCCCGGGGCTCAGCCCTTGCAGGTGTAGACCTCCTCGCGCTGGGTGCACTGCCTGCACTCCACATAGCAGCACCAGCGCACCTGGCACTGGCAGGGCCGGGTCACCACTCGGCTCTGTGTGTTGTGGCCGCGCCCGCAGCAGATGCTCTCACAGTTTTTCTCGCGGTGGCACCTCCGGCCAGCAGTGCCCGGGGAGAAGCGGCCGGCCAGGCAGAAGCTGGGTGAGTCATCCAGGTGCACTAGCTCCGGGGTGCGGGGTAGCGGGTCGCCGCCACCCGTCCCTGAGGCCCGGCCCCTTGGTGGCGAGATGGCGCCAGCCTCGCCGGTGGCCTCGTTGGTGGTGCTGCCCACCTTGAGCGCCGTCTCGTACTTGTGCTTCAGGCGCTTGCCCACCTCGTGGAAAGGCGCCAGCTGCCGCCAGCACGTCCTCACAGTGCACGAGCCTGACACGCCGTGGCACTTGCACGTGGTCTCCACCCCGGCCTTGATCACCTGGTGGGAGGGAGGGAGGCGGGCATGAGGGCAGACTCTGGGCAGACTGGAGACCAGTCCCCGAGGACAACCGTCCGAGGGGCTGGAATGGCCACTCACCCCAGGGCCAGACCTCATGTGCCTCTAGACAGGGGCCAAGGCCAGGGGTCACCACTGCTCATCAATTCCCTGGCTCACACACCTGTCCCTCCCTCTCCAAGCCACAGTCAGCCCAGGACCGAAATCCCACAGGCAGTACCACACCTCCAGCGTGGCCACTGCGGTAACCCAAACCCACCTCCTGCATCGTCAAGGCCCTCCCTTCCCATCCCTGCATCCAGGGCTGCCCTCTGCAAGGGCAGGGCACGTCACCCCTCTGGCCCTGATGGCAACACCCTACCAGGACCTCATAGTCTGCTGTCAGCAGCTGCTTCCTTAAAAAGGTGAGGACAAGCAAGCTGGCTGGCCTGGTGGCAGAAATGGCCACCAGAATCTATGTCTGAGCTGACCCGTGTCCCTGCCTAAGCACAGAGACGAGATGCTACTACATGTGCAGGTGCTGCGGCCCCCACCCGTCCAGCCCTGGTAAGAGTAACATGGAAGGACGGAGAAAGCCTCTGGAGAGGCCCAGATGGGAGGGGGCTACACCCACCCCCACACGCAGGCAGGAGCACGCACATCACGGCCCAGCACCGACACTCCACTCTGGGTCTGGGAAGCTGCCTGAGACCCAGGCTGGGTCCTTCCCCTCCCAGGACTTGGGTTCCCACCTGCAAAGCCGTGGAGTCAGGCCAGCTGCCCCATGGGGGCCTCCGGCCTGACTTCCCACATGGGGGTCCCTAGAGGGACATGGGGAAGAAGAATGGCAGAGGAAGGGGAGGTCCCTCTCCCAGTGGGCCCCAAGCCAGGCCTGAGCTCCCACACTGCCCCCAGGGAGAGTCGGCTCAAGGGGGATTAAGAAACATAGCTGCCCTCCAGCCAGGCAACAGAAGAGTCACATTTAATGATACTTTGCTGAGAAACCCGGACAAATTTAATTAAAATGCGGCTTACCCAGGCCCAGTGGAGCTAATGGAGCACTTTCATATTCTGACTTTTCATTAATAGCTTACAAAAGGGCAAGTGCAGAGGAAAAGAAAGGCCTCGCCTGGGGATTTAATCAGCCCGCACCCCTCCCCAGAGGGTGGAAGGAGGGGCAGAGCCCCCGTTGAAAAGGGGGAAATTGATTCTTTAATAAGTCTGCACCTCAGAACTCCAGCTTCTCAACAAAGAGGGGCTCAGAGTGGGGCTGGCATTAATTACCTCACCCCTCTTCTAGCCCTGGGGCTGAGGTTCCACATCCCACGGGGCTGCAGCAGGTCCCCCTCCCAGCCCCTGATGGTCCTACCGGCCAAGCTGAGCCTTGGAAGGCGTCTGATGGCCCATGTCATGCAGGGACTAAGAGGCTGGGGTGCTCTCTCCGCAGTGAGGGTGATGGAGCCCGATGCCCCCTCCAGTGGCGGGCAGGGTACCCCTGGCCCAGTCATGCTTGCCACCAGCAGCTCCCAGAACGGCCCAGCCAGAGAGCTGAAACGGTCCTTCTCACCTGGAGTCTTTTGTTTCAGTTTCCCTCGGAACAAAGTCCTGACCATGGACAAGGCCCCTGAGGTAGAAGCAGCCTCCCCAGCTGCGGCCAGCCACACCCCGAGCCCTTCCCTGGGAGCCCTGAGCCACACTTCTCCGGCTGCCGCCCAGCTGGGCCGCTGGTAACGGGGCTGCCCACCCCTCAGCCCTGGGAGGTAGGTAGGGCCCAGTCTGCTGACCCCCTGATTATATGCTGCCCAGCAGGGAGATCCTCCTCGTGGCCTTGACCACCCAGGACCAGACGCAGACCCACCTGCCTCCTCCCCAGCCTGCAGCAAGTAGGCCTTCTGGGTTCACACAACCATGAGAGACCATGGGGCGCCCCTCCACGGGGCACCACAGGGCACCCCATCACAAATAGCACCCCTGCCTATCTGGCAAAAAATGAGCCTTGTAAGCAGGAGGACTGGAGGCCCTGGCTGTCACCACGTGGCTGGAACAGAGACACAGAGGCAGCTGCCTCCACCTCCTCCCAGCCCCCCAGCCCTCTCCCCCACCAGTGCCCCTCCCGCAGCCCCTGTGCCCCACCCCTTACGCACATCCGGCCCCACCCACCTCTCTGCCCTTTCCCACCCCGCGCCCCGCCCCGCTTGCCTTCACACCCACGAGGTTGTTGTGGAAGTCCACACGGGCTCGCAGATCCTTGCTCGACCGCCGGCCCAGGAACTCCTTGACGAACTTGCTGCTGTACTTGAGGTTGTCCCCGCAGCCACCCCACTGCCAGGCCTCCCTGTTCTCCAGGTCAGGGGCCTCATCACAAGTGCAGCGCTCCATGCGGCCTGCACTGCACGCCTTGGCCAGCGCATGCGTCAGGCCCGCAGAGGAGATGGCATAGAGGAAGGCAGTCTCCTTGAAGCCTGGGGGAGCAGGGTTGGGAGGTGGGGTGTCAGCAGGCCAGAGCAGCCTCCATCCCATTCAGGTGCAGCCAAACCATCCCAAGCACACATTCCAGATAGAGCAGGATCCTCAGGGAAGAGGGTTTCTGGTGTGTTTCACACAGGAAGGGGACATACCTGCCGCGGCTGACATGCGCACCTGAGGGTAGGAGGCACGCTTTTGTGCCCTGAACATAGGCCTGGTCAGGGACGGGAGAGAACCCAGAGTGTACTGTAGCCACGGCTGTGTCCAGTGAACAGGGACCCCATCCATCTGGTTCTCCAACCTACTAGACGGGCCAGGGCCCCTCTCTGAGCCCTGCCATGCCCTGCGCCTCAGGTCTCCAGTTTTTAAATCAGGCTGTGAGGAGACTCAGATGAGAGTCCCTCTCAGCACCTTCATGTGGAAGCAGACATGAGAGACGAGGCTCTGTGCTCAGGCCCGAGGCACCAGCTGGACCCGTGCTCCTGTGCCCAGGCCCTGGGCCTCAGCCACGTGCGTAGTGAGAGCCATCAGAGCTGCCCAGATGTGCCTTGCGCCACCAGCAACTGCTCCACACATGTGTGAGGCGGGACCGGGCACGGGGAGAGGGCGGGAGGGAAGGAATGGAACCATGGGGAGGGGACAGGGGAGCAGTGGGGTCAAATGCCACCCGCAGTCCCAGTCCCGCGGAACTCAGCGGGCGTGACGCGGAGGGATGCACACCAGGGCTAGGCTGCCCTGCCTCCCCGCCCCTGCCCGGTGTCCCAGCGCACTCACCGCGCTTGAGCAGGCTGGCCCGGTAGCGGCCCTCCAGGGTGCAGTTCCAGCGCTCAAAGCGGAACTGGTACTGGCACTCGAGGGCGCTCATGCTGACCGCCTCCACCAGCGTCTCGGCCACGCCCGGGTCCCGGCGGCACATGCGCCGCTGCTTGCGCTCCAGCTTCAGTCGGTCGCACGCCTTATAGTGCGCCTGCGCGGCTGCTTCCGGCTCCAGGGTCAGCGGGAGGATGGTCAAGGGCTCGCTGCCCGTCAGCCTGGGCACAGAGAGGCCAGAGTGAGGCCGGCCCTCGGGGCAGGAGGCGGCGGGTGCTGGGCGAGGGCGCGGGCGCAGGCGCAAGGGAGGAGCCAGCCCAACTGGAAGGCATGGTGAGAACTGAATGCGGGCCCCGGCGGCCCCATGTCAGGGGCACGAGGGGGCAGCAGGCCCAGGGGCAAGTACAGAAAAGCCACAGAGAACCTGGCAGGGGTGGGGTGGTGAGAAGGCCGTGGGACCCTTGCCCACCAGGATTCCTCTCTGCATCTGCCTGCCCCCATACCCAACTGGCCACTCCCACACCCTGCCCTGCCAACTGCATGCCCTGGGTTCTCTCACTGCCTGCCGGGTGAGCGTGCCTCAAGCATCCACATGGCTACTGATGCCTCCCCAACAACTCCCTTCAGACAGGCATACCCCTGCCTCACTGCCTGGCTCTGATGATAGGGAAGGGGACAGATAGGAACCCCTCCCCCACACACACCCAGGAGGGCTGCCCAGTCCAGGGTGTTGGCCAAGGGCACAGACAACCAGGGCAGGGAGGGGACAGAGCAGCCCCAGGCCACACGAAGCGCACATCCACCACGACCCCATCACTCCCATGTCTGTTTACCCAGCTTGCTCCAGGGCCCCCACCCTCTGCCATCCCCAGCTAGGGGTGCCCCCGTCATGGCCCTGTGGTCCCCTGAGGAAGGCCTTGGCTCACCCCCTGTCCTCCTGCAGCCTGTACAGATGGCCCCGATGGCGCCGATGGTGTCTCCTGGGACAACGGTACCAGAAAGGGCCTCCCAGGGAAGTGGGCTCCTGGTTCTTCTCCACCCCTTCTCTTGACTGAGCCAAGGCCCTGGCCTAGGTTGGTCGCCACTGTCTGGCCTGCCTGCCCCACTTCCTTATCACCTGCTCCATCCAGGGACTGACAGGCCCTGGCCTTCTTCCTGTTCTGGGCTCAGAACCAGGAGGTCTCAGTGTCCCTGACAGACAACTGCACATCTGGACTCCAGGCACACCCATGCCCAGCCCCAGCCAGACCTTCAGCTCTCCATTGAGGAAGGTGTCCATCTGGACATGGGTGGGGCGCAGAGCCCACTGCAGCATCACTGGAAACAAGCTCCTCCTACCCGCAAACCCAGCAAGCCCACAGCAGTCAGGGGTGCCAGGAGTCCACAGGTACTGGAGCCCCAAAATGTGCCCCATCTTCCTTCCAGAGCCTCCTCAGTGGCACGATGGCCACGGGGCTGACATGGAGCTGCAGCTTTCTGCAGGGGAAGGGATGCGGGCGGAGCCTTGGAGAAGCCCACCCTCTAGCAGACTCCAGCAGTAACGCTGCAGGTGGAGGCTTCTCTAGAGACACCCTGGGTACCATCTTCTGAAGCTGCATGCACACAAACCCCCAGCATGCTCTGCCCTGCCTGGGGAAGGGGGGGGGCATTGCTACATCTACCCTGGCGAGGGTGGGACCTGTGCAGGGCAGAATCAGCCCTGCCCTGCAGCCCCCAGCCCCTGAATGAGCTGCACCCTGTCTCACCCTCGCTGATCTTGTCCTCGCTGAGGACAAGAAAGCAAGGCGCTGAGGCTCAGGGACCAGGCTGACCAGAGACCCAGGCAGCAGCTGGGCAAGGAGGAATGCCAGGGCAGACTGGGCAGGCCTAGGGTGCAGAGCAAAAAGGACCACCCCCCGCTCCTCCACACTCAGGTGCAGCGTGAGTGGCAGCTGGATAGAAGCAAGGCCACAGTGGGCACCCTGAGAAGATCCATGCCCTGTTCCCTAGGGGCTCAGAGCCAGGGCAGCAGCAGCAGGGTGTGCAGGAGCAGAGGCAGCAACGGCCCCCAGCCCTGAGACCAACGGTGTGGGACAGCAGAGCCCACGGTGGAGTCCCCACCAGCTCAAGTCCATGCAGCCATCACTGCAGGGCCTGTGCCCCTCTCCCTAAGCAACACTCTGAACCAGGAGGGTCCCCGGGGGTGTGCTGGGAGGCCAGCATGGGCACAGACTAGAGGAGAAGTCCCAAAGGTCCCTTGTGGGTCACTGAGCGGTGGGGATGCAGAGGTCGCAAGGCCTGCGGGGAGAGGACACGTGTGCTTAGAGCCGAGATGATGAGCTGGAGAGGCCGTGGTGCACGCCAGGCCCAGGCCCTGGTTACCTGCACCCCTAACCTAGGGTTAGGACTTCATGCTTAAGGGCAGGGGCTGACACCGAGCAGCTTTATGGACTTGCAGGCCTCCTGCCTGAGGACAGCTGCTGAGCCGAGGCAGGGAGCGGGCAGGGGCCCGAGGACCCTGTGCTGGAGGCCGGAAGAGCTACGCTCCCCACACAAAGGCAGCTCACACGGTGGAGACTTGTCCCCAGACAGGAATGTCAACAGCTGTGCCCGGAACTGCGTGCCATGCAGCTGAAGCACCGTAGCCTCCAACCTGCACACCCCCAGACTGGATTCTCCAAGTTAATTGAGCTCCGGGCCAGTGCCGAAATATTCTGGCATCCAAGAGGGCCCCCTGCTGTGAGCCCATCCTGGGGGGACCTGGGGCCAGGCTGGAAAGGGCAGCTGTGGGTGTGGATGAGGGGGCTGGATGGCAGGTGATGCTGCCCCCCTCCCTGGCCTGCCTGGAGGCATCAGGGCCGCCTGTGTCCAAATTCTGCACATGGGGGCTGAGGACAGGCCCTCCCCAACTGAGGGCCAGCCTATGTCCACACTGCAGATGGGGAGCTAATCCGGGGGTCCCCACACACCCAGATCCAGCCTGCATAGCTACAGGTACCTGCATTCCCACTTGCCTCAGCACGTCCACCCAGGGTTCAGAGGCAGCTCTGTAAATGCAGCCACGGGCAAGCTGAGTCTGCCCTGATGCCAGGTGGGGTCTACCTCTGCTCTGGGCTAAGGGGTGTGGAGGAACAGTCAGCCCAAGTCCAGAAATGGCCAGCTGACAGCCACGTGGCCCATGGCTGAGGCCTGAGGCCCAAGGGCCACAGGCCTTTCCCCTGAGCCATCGCACAGCTCCCACGGTAGGCATGAGGCTGGAACCCAAGGGGGGCCGGACCGCTCCACTTCCCTGGCATCTCTCATCCCAAGGTGACTCCTTCCCACATCTCTTTTACAAAGGCCCAGCTGTCCTCTGCCCCAAGCCCCTTTAACAGTCCAGGTGGGCTCAGTGCAGCCAAGCCGGGACTGAGGCCTGGGGTGCAGTGACAGAGGACAGACCCTCACGGAGGTGCCAGGAGGGGAGACGATGCACAGGATACAGGGAACAGGGAGGGTATCAGGGGGGCCTGGGCTCGGTGGGGAAGGCCCCAGGGACAGGAGACAGGTCTGCCAGGACAGAAACCCTGACACAAGGAGAAACCCACAGAAGTATCGGAAAAAAGATGAGAGGTTCATAAAACATTTTCAGAATCAGGAAGGCTTTTATCAGAGTGACTCAGAATCCAGAATGCCTTAAATATTTTTAAAAACCGACTATCTAAAAGTATAAGAATCTCTGCACAGCAAAAAGCAGCACAGAGTCAAAAGACTAACAGATCGAGGTCAGGGGAAATGCTGCAATTTGAATCCCAGGCCAAGGGCAGGCTTTCTTTGCTTGTGTGCGGGCGTGTGCATGTGGGCGCATGTGCACGTGTGTATGTCCATGTGTGGACGCAGGTGTATCTTTTCCTCTAGATCAATAACAAAAGAATCAGCTGTCAAGTGGACACAGGACACTAACACACAGTTCAAGGGAAGGAAATATAGCTGGCTGTTAAAACCTGATTTGCGTTTCACTCAAAAAAAGAACGCAAACTAAAACTATATTGATTAAGGTTAAGGTTATTTTTCATTCATCAGATGAGTGCAAGTCGGTGTCTGATAAGGTTGCTGTCAATGACACAGAGAAAGAGGTGTCCTCCATGGCTGGAATCTGGACTGACATATCCGTAAAAATTCCCCCACCACTTCTCTTTCTAGAAATACAGACCACAGGTATATTCTCTTAAAATGAACAAGTATATGTCACTCACGTGTTACCCAATGCAACGCTGTCATACAAACACATGGAAGCACTGTTTGTTACTCAAAAAGACTGGAGATTCATAGAATACAGACTTGTGGTTGCCATGGGGGAGGCGGGTGGGAAGGATCAAGATTTGCAGATACTGACTGATATATATAAAATAAACAAGTTTAAACTTTGTAGCACAGGGAAATATACTCAATTTCTTGTAGTATCTCATGGTGAAAAAGAATATGAAAATGAATACATGTATGTTCACGTATGACTGAAGCATCGCGCTGTACCAGAAATTGACACAACATTGTAAACTGACTATAATTCAATATATAAAAAAAAAGACTGGCGATTGGCTGAATACACGGGGTCCATCTGAGCCACAGGGCTTTCAGAAGGCATCAGAAAAGCCAAAGCCCGGCTGCTGTGCACACTCAGTGCACAGACACAGCCCTCTCTCCGCAGAGAACCTACGTGCACATCTGTGGGTGCCAGGGCGACCCGGCAGAGAGGTGGCCTGGGGTGGAGGAAACATGTTCTTCTCCCAATAGCCTGTGAGCCACTCACCCGTTGTCCCAGGTGCACGTGATCCATCAAAACAGCAAAGTTCAACATACAGCAAGCAGTGTGGGGGAGCCCCGAACAGGCTCTCGGCCCTGTATGCCAGCCGGGAGCAGTGAGCCTCTGCCCGCACAGCCTGCCTCCGGCTGCCTGGCACAGCACAGTCTCCGCCAACGCCCAGCTGCCCATACCAGCGCACCTGCCACCGTGCCCAACACAGCTGCTGCTGACTCCCCCTCAACCCCCCCGGTGGATGCCTGATCTGAGACAGGCGGGCGGGTGCGCGCACGAGCCTGCCCAGGACGTGAGCTGGCTGCCCATAGGGGGCATCCCCTCAGCAGGCAGGCAGGGAGCCCCCGCCCCTGCCTCACCTGACTGACCCCTCCCAGTGCTGGACCCACTTCTGGGAAGAAATGACAAGGAGACCTACGTGTCCGTCTGGCACTTTTTAACGTTCATGTATTTTCTTTTATTTTTTTTGGCTGGGGTGGGGGTGGGGGAGGAGGTAATTAGGTTTATTTATTTTTAGAGGAGGTACTGGGGATTGAACCTAGGACCTCGTGCATGCCAAGCATGTGCTCTACCACTTGAGCTACCCCCTCCCCACTGTTCATGTATTTTCAAAAGATATAAATTTCTATCTATATCTGAAAAAAAAAAGACAAGTGAACTTATATATAAAACAGAAACAGACTCACAGAAGTAGAATACAGACTTGTGGTTGCCAGGGGGGAGGGGGATGGGAAGGTATAAACTGGGAGGTCGAGATTTGCAGATACTGACAGGTATATATAAAATAGATAAACAAGTTTATACTGTACAGCACAGGGAAACATATTCAATATCTTGTGGTAGCTCAGGGTGAAAAAATATGAAAATGAATACATGTATATCCACGTATGACTGAAGCATCGTGCTTTACGCCAGAAATTGACACAACATTGTAAACTGACTATACCTCAATAAAAAAATAAATAGAAAAATAAACCAAAAAAAATGTACACCTATATCTGGCACGGGAAAGTGAGCAGTACAACTGTGCAACACAGCTCTCACTTGGCTCAAGGAACAGCCTTGTGCCGGGCACTTCTGACTCCCACCCACAATGTCATAAATAATCTGCTAAACATTCTCCGAAAGTTCCCCCGTCCTGCTGTGCACATCCAGCTCTCCATCCCCCTGGTACTAACACCTGCCTGAGAGGTTTGGTGGGTCCAGCATCCCTCCCTCAGGACCCCGAAGGTCCTGTCTCCTCACTGCTCTGTGACATCACAGCAGCCTCACACGTGGCTCATTCCCAGGCTCCACCCTGGGCCCGTGGTCCGCGGCCTGACATTTTACTGGAACTGCATCAGGACCTCCTTCCAGCAGATTCTGAGGGCATGTGTTGGCTCTGCATTTGCATACACATGTGACAGGGTTGGCTGGGGCGGTCACATCCGCTGCGAGTGCAAGACCGGGTCTCTCCCTTCGTGAGCACGGTCTCTCTCCATTTACTCAGAATTCCTTCCTGCCTCTGTCTGAAGTTTTACAGGTTCCCTGACTCGACGGCTGCCCCGGGTTAGTCCTGTTTTCTGGGGTGATAATGTGTAAAAATAAAACATCTTTATAAAGTCAGTCTTTCCTCTGTTGCTGACCTACAAAAATCCAACTGACTCTATGCTGATCTAGTATTTGGTGACCTTGCTGTGTGTTGTAATTCACCTCTGATGATTTTCAGATGCTTTGTGTACAATCACACAGTCTAAAGAGACATTCATCTGCTTTCTGACTTCTCAATCCTATGTTATCCTTCCTGCCTTCCTACACCGGCTAGGGCCACCACTACAGTCATGCAGAATCTACGAGCTACCCTCTGGGGCCCAGCCTCCCCGCCCCCAGCTCCGCAGCCACCAGCCAGCACAGAGCTGTCTAGTGTCCTTGTTAGCATGTGTGGCCATATGGTGAGGGGGAGAATGGGGGACACCGTGGCCAGAAAGTGGGGACCCTCCTCCTTGCAGGTCTCCTTCCCACAAGCCCAAACTTGTTTCTCTGCCAC